AATAAATAAATAAATAAATAAATAAATAAATATATTCCTATTCCCTCCTCACCTCACTAACCTGCTTTCCAGCTCCGTTCTCCTGTGCAGGGCAACAAAAGAAGATCCAGCCGATTGGCTGGGACTCAGGAGGCAGAGAATAGATGGCAGCAGGGTCAATCAGAGGTGGTATTTGCCAGTTTTCCGAACTACTCAAAATTTCTGCTACCAGTTCTACAGAATTAGTCAGAACCTGCTGAATACCACCTCTGATCCAAATGTTTAGACTGAATTTACCATTTTTATCCACCTATAGTGTTGTTCACAAGGAACTAGGATAGCAAATAGTGTTGCTTAATGATATTAAAGATACAATAGAGGGTTATAAACCATACCAAGTAAAGTTGCTGATAGAAGAGAGTTGCTTTTGTAATTCACTGGTGGTAATTTTCTCAATGATGATGGCTTTCAATAGATAGCAATAGAACTTGGACTTATATATCACTTCACAGTGCTTTTACAGCCTTCTCTAAGCAGCTTACAGAGTCAGCATATTGCCTCCAAGAATTTGGGTCCTCACTTTACCCACCTCGGAAGGATGGAAGGCTGAGTCAAGCCTGGTGAGATTCGATCTGCCTTCAGTAGTGCACTCTAACCACTGCGGCACTGAGGCTCATGCTCCCATTGTTTTAGAATTGCATCTAAGGCAAGGGTCCCCAAAAGTCCGTGGCCTGACACTGGTTCATGGCATGCCAGAAACCAGACTGTGAAAAAGAAGTGAAGCCCCATCTATGGGATGAGGCAGTATGCAAAACCATGCACCCTCTTGTCCATGGAAAAATCATTCTCCATGGAACTGGTCCCTGGTGCCCAAAAGGTTGGGGGCCACTGATCTAAGTCATCTATTATATTGGTACTATCTTTGCTTTCTTTTACCACAATCATTTTATTTCTATTTGCAAGTCTTCACATTTTGCTGTTTCTGCAGTTATTTCTCTTCTATTCTGCTATTTCCCAACAGTCCCATATCCATTACCCAAACATCTTTGTCCTTATTATTGACATTTGCTAAGCCTGGAATGTTTTGTGGAAGGTGCTTGCCTATTCAAATACTAAAATCCCAGGAAACTTTAGTTTCTTCATTTTTATTTGTTTGTTTGTTTGTTTTTGTCTATTTTGTGGTTCCAGCAATATTGCCTTTGGTATTTTTTTCAGATATTCCAGTAATATTACAATAATAATGCAAGGTCTAGCTGAAGCTTGATTGAATTCCTTAAGTTCATTCTTACACTGTGTTATATTTTCCTACTAAATCTTGCTATTTGTTTCACTTTGTTTCACCACAAAGAACTTTGATTATATTAGTTTTCCATTCTTGCAATCCTTAAAAGTAACTACATCATTCTTAGCTCTGCAAGTCAAACAAACCCACTTAATTTAGATTGGCTATGCTGCTCAGGGTTTCTTCTACTTAAGAAAAAAAACCTTCCAAATTTAGAATATTTTGATTCTGTGATTTTATGATGAAATGTACTTATTTATCAACTTTTGAAACAACCCATTTCTCACAGAGATAAAATAGATTTCCTTCAAGAAAACTCAAAGCTGTAGACTAGACTGGGAAGTCAAATATTATCCTAGTTTAAGGCAGTGAGATTTGAGTACAAGGAAGGAATTACATAGTAGAGATGTAGGAAATGTACCAAAAAGGCACTGCCCTGTATTTGCAATATTGTCTGAAGTGCATAGAAATTGTTAGATAATTTTATGCATTTGCTGATTCAGCAGCCATCCAGTTATAATCAGTACCCATCTGCAAACCAAAAATATATAATGCCCTGGATCATATTGATCAACAGAGATGCTATGAAATAACTGTTGTACTGCGGTAAAAGATTTTATGATTGGACAACTTTATCCACAAAACCATATGGAATAATAAAATTGGAGGTCCATAACATTCAAAAAGGCTCTTTGCAATCTGGTTGCAACATTGTCTATGCTTAGGAAACTCTGATTACAAATAGAGCCAGTTAAAAATTGGTGTGAGATTCTGAAACATTTTCTGCTTAACTTATACAACAACATTTGGGACTAATCTTTTTTTTTAAGTTTCTGAAGACAAGTGGAGAAGAAGAAAAAGGAAAAGGAGAATTCCTTACAGAGGGGGCATAAATGACTTCTGTGAAGGATGCTCATCAAAGCGAAGTTCCTCAAATACATATATAATCTGAGTGGTGATCCCACCAATAAAGAGATTTCCTGGTTTGTGCCATTCATGAAGGATAGGAAAAGGATCACTCCTGGGGCAAAGTGTAGCATTCATCTGGCGCTTTATATCCACCATCAACCATAGCATGATCACTACCCTCAACATTTTGTCTAGAGGAGGCTTACTTGTCCTTAGTCACAATCCCACTGCTGCTTATGTTGAGACTGTTTTGCATTAATGAAAAAAATCAAGGAACATGTTCAGCTAATAGCCATGGTTTACTCAGTTCTCTCATCCAATGCATTGACATCAAGAAGGTTAGCAAAACATATCTGATAGACAAGCACATTCCAGTAAATGGAAATCACTACCAGAATCCAAAGAGACAAAATCCTGCCTCTTACTTTTCCCTCAGTTCCAGAAATGAAAGATTTTATAACCTCTTCCAGACTGACTAGTCAATTCTTTTTTTCAGTATTTCTTGGAAGGCTTTTGCAGCTGTGTCATAAAGCATCAATGATAATCATTTAGGTTAATTGCCAACAAACATTCATCTTTGCAAAAGGAAGCTCCCATGTTTGACTATTACTTCACTTCCACATTACACCTGTGTGTAACTATGTTCTTGGCTTTGATTCTACATAAAAGAATTACATATGATTATTTCAATAAAAATTATTATCCATGAGATTCTTCCCCAACCAAATGCTTATAGCTGAAATCTCTACCTTCTCCAAATATGTATTTTTAGCAAACCACTGAGCACAATAAACCTCAAAGGAGTCATTGAGAGTTATACCCTAGGGATTGCTCATTCTTTCATTAAATCATTTATATAAAGTGCAAAATTAGTCCATAGGTGATATATTGCTTATCCTGGCTGACTCTTCACTTGACTTTTTAAAAAGATCTATCCCAGATTTCCTCCAAGAAGTTGAAGGAGTTTCATGTTTGTCAGAAGCATCACAATTAAAATAAGGTATACAATATGACATAAAATTTAATACATAAAATACAAGATTAAAATATGTATATATTAAATAGATGTTGCCCAGAAACTAGCAACTGTCAGGGTTCTGACCGATGCCCTAATTAAATCATGAGCCTCAGGCCAAGCTTCAAAAAAAATCCATCAGGAGCTTCATGTCGGCACAGACCAAGTGAAGTCAACTCTGACCTCACTTAATTTACACTTTGGCTCTGACCCTGTTTCTCCCCCCCCCCCCCCCAAAAAAATGGTGTGTCATCAGTCACATTCCCCAATGAAGCAATTTCGTGGGTTGTAGAATTCACTCCCTCCAGCCACTGTGGATCTCCGTGGAGATGACCTTGATGTTGCCAGCTGGAATATGCTTTGTTTTGACTGAAATACTAGTTCCTCTATGTAACTGGGAGGTTCGATTCCCCATCCCCCTGCCTATGGCAACTCGAGAGAAGGTCAGGAATGCTTCATGAGTTGAACGCAACATTATTGGCATTAGCAATTAATTGCATTAGCAACATTATTGTGGGACATGAAAGGAGCCTCCATGAAGAATGTGTGCTGTGAACACATTCAGGTATCCCCTGGGTAACAGGTTATACTTGGCTAATCTTTTCAATCCAGAAGCATCCTGAGGCTTAATCCTGAATTAATTAGGGTTAGGGTTTAGTAAGTTCTCTAGTAAACTTTATGATAGACTTGAACCTGTGTTTCTTTGGTTCTAGTTATAGTTGGGAAACATGCTTAATTCCAGACCTTCAACATATCCTAGAAAAATACTTAGCATTCATTCATTAAATTCCAGGTGGTGATCTTTTAATATTCCTTGAAGTTCAACTGTATTTTCTCTGATAGCAATTCCTTTTCACTGAACTTCCTTTCTAAATATAAAATATTTATAAAAAGATAAAGTTGCTGGTTTTAACATCTGTCATCTGATGACTCCTCTACATTAGACTAAGTCCTTAAGTTAAAACATTTTGCTCACAAGAATCAACACACTTCTCAAACACTTTCTTAATAAAGGTCAGTTGTCTACATATTTTAGTTGAATGTTCCTTTCCATTAGTCTACTACCCCTCTTCTTTAAAAGCCTGATCTGTTATTGAGCATGATTTTCAACTTTGATTTAGGGAGCAGATAGCTAAACTTTCAGTCCTGAGGAATCTATGAAATTCCAGAGATCCAACAGGCAAGAATGCTCTCCTGGAATCTCCTCTGAACCTACAAGAAGGAGAGTGTGCAATTCAGAACAAATCTGAGAAATCTCTTTATCTACAAATGCTATGTAATTTCTTCTTTATGCCTCTGTAAGTCATTCTACTTGCCCTTTTTACCCAGCATGGCTTGTGTCCTCTGAAACAAAAATGGGAAGACTATCTGTGAATGAAGTAAGGTTGGAGAAGCACTTGGACGTTACCACACAGCATCACAAAGTAGGCCTAAATAGCAGCTTTAAGGTGTGTTTATTGAGTTTGTCCTTTGCTGACTACTAGCAATGATACAGATCACTCTTCTTCAATTTTATCATGGTGACATAGCAGTTAGAATACAATATTGCAGGCTAATTCCTCTGTCAACTGCCAGCAGTTCAAGTCTCACTAAAAGAAGAAACTTTATTCACTTATAATAGAGTCACTTATAATACAATGAACAATTTTATTTTCCAGTTCCATTCATATGAATTTGACAGAAACTTATAAATGCCAAGGATATATAATATTGGTAACATTGACAAACCTGATAAACAAACTCTGTTTTTAATTCTTAACAGATCAGTCCTAATTCAATTTTGCAGCAAAAACAGATACAGCCATGATTTAATAGTCAGAAATACTTTTTCTTTACAACTTGACCTTTGCTGTTGAGCTCAGGCCTCAGCAAAATAATGAAGCATTTGGGGAAGAAGATACATCCCAATAACCCAACACTAGAAGCTAAGATGGAGAAGATCTCAACAGCCACCATAAATTTTCCTTTGGTGCTCAAATAGGTGGGAACAAAAGACAGCCAAACACTACAAAATATCAGCATGCTAAAAGTGATGAACTTGGCTTCATTGAATGTATCAGGCAAGTTCCTAGCCAGGAAAGCCACCATGAAGCTGACCAGAGATAGAAACCCCATATAGCCCAAGACAAGATAAAACATCACAACAGACCCTTCATTACATTCTGCTATGATCTCTTCAGTCATTGATTGCATGTTAAGTTCTGGAAAGGGGGGAGAAGTGATCATCCATGCCAGACAAATGCCTGCTTGAAGGAAGGAGCCAGGAAAAACAATTAAGAAGGACAGTCTTTTTCCCAACCATTTTCTCATGCTGGATCCTGGTTTAGTGGCCATGAATGCTGCAACGACCATGATGGTTTTAGCCATCACAGAAGAAATGGCCACAGAGAAGATAATACCAAAGACAGTTTGTCTGAGGAAGCAAATCAGTTTGAGAGGTTTTCCAAGGAAGAGAAAAGAACAGAGGAAGCAAAGTAGAAGGGAGATTAGAAGAGTGTAGGTGAGGTCCTTGTTGTTAGCTTTAACAATAGGAGTATCTTTATACTTAATAAATATTACAAGTATAAATATAGAAATGATTGAGAATAAAACAGCAACTGCAACTAAAATAATACCTAAAGGTTCTTCAAAGGTTAGGTAGGTTATGATTTTGGGGATGCATCGAACTTTGTCTTTACTTGGATATTGATCTTCTGGACATTCAGAACAGGCAATCATGTCTGCAAATAAAAGAGAGGCCATAAAGCATGGAATCACAGGTGTCACATTTATTACATAAAGGTAAAACAAGGATTTGGTGTAGAGTATAGAAAAGCTGAGTAAAACATATTACAATTTACCTGACATATTTGACATTTTCCCATGAGAACATAGATCACAATCATAGCAGCAAAATTTTTCGCCTTCTTTCTTTTTCTTCTGATAGCCAGCAGGACAGGGATCATTACACAATGAAAGGGGCAAGACCTGTTGATAAACCAGGATAGAATTCAGCACTGAAGATTTGAATAATATTGAACAGTCATCCTCTAGTCTAGTCTGTCTGCAGAAATTAGAGTAACAGAGATCATAGGATCATGAAATGAAATGTCCTACCTGATAATCTCTCTAACACTTCAAATTGGATCCAAACTATTCCTTCCCTTCCCCTCTCTGGATTAATTGAAGGAGGAGGAGAAATAGTTTTTAAAAATGCATGCTGCAAGATGTAATATTTAGCTTAGTACAGCCAGAAAACTAATTTAAATAGCCATCTTAAGTGTGCGTCTGAGCACTGACTCAGATATTAAAGTTTAGCATATTCCTTCTGATCTTTGGAGATTCTCAGCCAGCTCGTGGTTGTTCCAAAATCTTTTTTTCAAGAAGCAACTGGACTTTCTTTGTTGTTCCCTGAAGATTTATTTGTTTGTTTGTTTGCTTGCTTGCTTGTTTATTTGTTTGTTTGTTTGTTTTGTCAAGTGATTATAAGATAACAGGTATAAGTATAAACATAGTTATGAATACATGAAATGGATACATATAAGAAAAATAAAAGAAACAATCGGACAGGGATGGTAGGCACATTGGTGCACTTATGCACACCCCCTACAGGCCTCTTTGGAAAGGGGTGAGGTCAACAGTAGACAGTCTAAGGTTAAAGTTTTTGGGGTTTGAGGAAGAAACCAGAGAGTCAGATAGAGTATTCCAGACATTGACCACTCTGTTGCTGAAGTCGTATTTCCTGCAATCAACTTTGGTGCAATTAACCTTGAGTTTGTATCTATTGTTTGCTCTTATATTGTTATGGTTGAAGCTGAAGTGTTCATTGACAGACAGGGCATTGCAATGTATAATTTTATATACTATACTTAGATTGGATCGAAGGCGGCATAGTTCTAGGTTTTCTAGGTCTAGAATTTCAAGTCTGGTGGCATAAAATGTTTAGCTTCTCATCCAAAAAGCTTCTTAAATTCTGACTGATTTCTGGAGAATGGAAGGCAAGGAATATAAATCCTTCTATTCTCCATCATTCAGTCAGAGCTGAAGAAGCTCCTTGGATGAGAAGTGAAATGTCTTCCAGAAAATGCAAAAACAGTCCAGTTGCTTTTTGAAAAAGCAGTCTGGGACACAGTTCCCCTTCTATATCTGATTGATGAACCAGCAGTGTGCAGCAGCTGCCAAAAAAGCCAAACAGTTCTAGGCTGCATAAACAGAGGGATAGAATCAAGATCATGTTAAGTGTTAATATCACTTTACCAATGCCTTGGTAAGGCCACACTTGGAATACTGCATTCAGTTTTGATTGCCAATGTGTAAAAAAAAGATGTGGTGACTCTAGAAAGAGTTCAGAGAAGAGCAATAAAGGATTAGGGGACTGGAGGATAAAACATATGAAGAACAGCTGCAGGAACTGGGCATGTCTAGTTTAACAAAAAGAAGAATCAGGGGAGACATGATACTAGTGTTCCAATATCTCAGGGGCTGTCACAAAGAAGAGGGAGTAAAGCTATTCTCCAAAGCACATGAGGACAGGACAAGAAGCAATGGGTGGAAACTAATCAAGGAGAATCTAGAAGTCCTCCAAGATCCCTTCCAGCTCTGTTATTCTATTCTATTCTGATGGATTTTTGCTATTCTTTTCCCAACCTTGACAGTAGGAGAATGCACTTTTACAGTATTGTTCATACAACTAAATTGGAAGCTTTCAAAATATCATATCTTCCCTCATCCCCTCTGTAATTTATCAGCCAATTATATTTCCCCAAGAGCTAGAAAAACAGTTATATTTTAAGTACAGAGTGGTTAATTTTAATTGATTAAAAGACTTGAAATAAAGCTACATAATTAAACTCATCTCTGATCTCCAGATCCTTTATTCCAAATAATAAAATATCAGAAAATCCATACCCTCTTAAAATATTTGGGCCAGATAATTAAATCTTCATGAATCACAAGTTCATTTCCTTCAAGTGCTTTGGGAATCATCTTTCCAATTTTTACTTTACAGTAGGAATTGTTTGGAAACATCATAATATTTGTAATATCAAATCCAGATAGCACTTCTCCATGTTGGTTGATGGTCACTGTTTCTCCAACTGAATTATTAAATGAAAGGCCTTGAAGAAACCAATGAAGCTAACTTTTAAAAAAGGAAAGGGAATAAATAAGATGAAACAAAGCATTGAATCTTTGTCAAGATTCAATAAATTTTTAATCTATGGAAATAAAAGTGACACAACTAAAGTTGCCCTGATTTCTGACAATCAATCTAAATCACTAAACCAAGCAAGTATTTTTGTTGTTTATTTTGTCATATCACCCAACTGAGGAGACATGGCCTTTGGCTGTGAAATTGATGTTTCCTTTGGGTTCAAAATGGAGGATGGGACTTAGAGAAGTATAAGTTACTCCATTGGTAAAATTATGGTTTTTTCAGGTGTTATGGAGAATTGCACTGTTGAAATGCACTCTGTTGCTTCAGGTCACTCCATTTAAAAATCCCTTTCAGCCTTGTCCTACAAAACTTTCTGCAAACATGGCACCTTCATCCTGTGCCAAAGATCTCCAAGATGGGGGTTCCTTTGATATAGACTCTGTCCTCTGACACACTCTACTCAGCCTTGGGAAGATTGACCCCAGATTGGGCACGTATTACAGGTTGTGTGACTTCAAGAGAATGGTAATCCCATGCTTGTGAGTGTGAGCCATGATGGCGTAGTGGTTAGAGTGCATTACTGCAGGCTACTTCTGCTGACTTATGGCTGTGAAGCTATCACCTTGAAATTTTGAAATGAGACACTCATGTTCCTTCAGGTTTCTTCCACTAAAATTCCCTCTCGACCATTTCCTGCAAAAATATGAGGAAGACTGGCGGCTTCAACCTATAAAGAAGTTATTCCAGACTGGGGACTTCTGCTATCTAGAATCCATGTTGAAACACACTCCATCCAGCCTTGACAAAATCATCATCAGATTGGTGAACATGAGGTACAGAATGAAGGTATGTCAACTTGGGTGCCTTGAACAAGTCCTGAATGCCATACTTGTATCATAGTCACCCAAACTGAAGACATTCAGCCATTACATAGCTTTTTCTCTGGTAATATTGCACTACTAATTAGAGCATACAAAACATTTGCTAGACCAATACTTTAATACAGCTCATCAGTCTGGAACCCGCATTATATATCGGATATTAATACAGTCGAAAAAGTTGAGAAATATTTCATGAGAAGAGTTCTTCACTTCTCTACTCGTAGCAGAATATTTTATGCCACCAGACTTGAAATTTTATACCTAGACGACCTAGAACTACACCACCTTCAGCATGATCTAAGTGTAGTACATAAAATTATCTACTGCAATGTCCTACCTGTCAATGAATACTTCAACCACAACAATACGAGAGCACACAATAGATACAAACTCAAGGTACCAAACTTGATTGCAAGAAATACGACTTCAGCAACAGAGTGGTCAATGTCTGGAATACTCTACCTGACTCTGGGTTTTTTCCCCAAACCCCAAAAACTTTAACCTTAGACTGTCTACTATTGACCTCACCCCTTTTAGGAGGTCTGTAGGGGGCATGCATAAGCGCACCAACATGCCTACCATCCCTGTCCTAATGTTTCTTTATATTCGTATCCATTTCATGTATTCATAACCATGTTTATACTTATACCTGTTATCTAATAGTTGCTTGACAAAATAAATAAATAAATAAATAACTGCTGGGGAGGGCTGAGAAGACACATCTGCAACACTGACCCATCTTTCAGGACAATGTGAATTGTCTTAGTGGATCATGTCAATGTCTTACTTAAATGAAAAGAATTCTATTAGTGTTCAATTTCAACCTATTTCCAGAACTGAATAAGTAGCTTTTGCAATTAGATTTATATACCACTTCATAGTGCTTTACAGCCTTCTCTAAGAGGTTTTACAGAGACAGCATGTTGCCTCCAACAATCTGGGTTCTTTTCTCCAAAGCCTCCTGGATAATTTGAGAAAAAGGAAGAAGTACATGCAGCAATTATTTGTACTTCTATAACTGTCTGGTTTGGTACAGCAAACAAAAAGGGGACAAGTGCAGGCTTCAATTGAAAGTTAGGACTGCAGAAAAAAAAAAACAATTGCAACCAGCCACTTTCTATTGAGGACCTGTATATTGTCCCTTTCAGAAGGAGGGCTGAAAATATCTACAGACCTCTCACAACTGGGACATAAACTGTTTCAACGCAATCCTTCAGAACACTGCTATTGGGCAGTGCATACCAAAACAAATAGACACACGTACAGATTTTGCCTCATGCCATCATGCCGCTGAACATCTAATTCCCACAGCACTATCCTTCTTATCTTTCCTACTAGTTCTCCTATACATATTTTATGATTATATAATAAAAGTTATTACCTTCCACGTCCCTTGATCTTGAAGTTTGTCCCTTATACTTTCAGCTACTCTTTTGTATTTAGACTTATGTATGCTCATGCCATGAAGAGCATGGGCTACAGCATGGACTGCATTGTAGATACTGTAGCTGTGGCCGGTCATTTCAAATAAATGCCGAGGAAGGTTATTCATCTCTTCCTTCCCAGTACATGTTTCATTACTTTCTGCCAGTGTGTTACTTCCTGAAAAGTGGCAATCAAAGCCTTGTTCCCAGAATTCTTTCAATAAACTATCCCGTTGGGTCTGGAATGGTTTGAGAGCCCCAAGGAATTTTTCAAATCCTGGCAGTTCATTGGAATGAATAGCAAAGGAAATTGCTCCATCGAACAATTTTAAATCTGACGGTCTATGAAGACTCATTAAAGTTAAATCCATTTGAGCTGTCAGAATCCACATTTTTCCTGATATTTTCAAAGAAAATGTATATTTAAGGAACATAAACAGAAGCATTGCTGTGGTGCTTTCCCCATAGAAGAGGAATGTATTAATTTTGATGTCCAGCCAATAAATATTTATCCTATCCACAATTGCATTTTGAAACACAGAAAAAAAAGCTTGTTTGGGCATTCTCTCCACAAAGGCAGCACAGATCCTGTTCTCAGAAAGAAGTGGGTCCAGGGCTTGGAGGAAATTGTCTCCACTGTCATCATCCAGAATTAAAAGACCAACCCATGTCCATCTAAAATGCTTCAGCAACTGGATAATTCCTGCAATCTGAAGATTTTCATCTGGTGCCATCCGGTAAAAGGAAGTCGCCATCTTTGTTCCAGGCTTCTTTGGAGCAAAGGAGCCATAAGCAAGCTAAAATAAGATGCTCAGTTGGTTCTTATGGAATTAGATGTGGGGTTCAAAAATTTTTACTACTGGTTCTGTGGGCGTGGCTTGGTGGGCATGGTATGCCTTGATGGGTGTGGTTTGGTGAGCATGGCAGGGGAAGGATACTGCAAAATCCCCATTCCCTCCCCACCCAACTAACCTGCTTTCCAGCTCTGTTCTCCTGTGCAAGGCAACAAAAGAAGACCCAGTTGAGCAGCTGGGACTCGGGAGGCAGAGAATAGATGGGGTGGGGCCAGTCAGAGGTGGATTTTGCCAGTTCTCTGAACTATTCAAACTATTCAAACTACTTCAACTACTGGTTCTCCAGAAGTGGTCAGAAACCCTTAATACCACTTCTGGTTGGAATGTCTCAACAAACATGAGAATTGTAATTTCTTAAACAACATGCAGATATGTGCATTTTTCCCAAACTCTTTCCATACATGGGATTCCATTTTCAATTCTAAATAAATCTTGTGTCCATTGCTTTATTGATTTCTTTGTTAGATTCATATCTTGCCTTTTGTTCAGGCAGTTAAGAGCACTTCCACAGGTCTCTAAGCATAACTTAGGTTTGGCTGACAGAAAGTGATAGACATGTTAGGTTCCATGGATCAGGATGGATTTACATCAACATCAGCACCTTAAATTCTCACCTTCTGCAATGTGATGCATCAAATATACAGTAGTTCAATTCTATTTCCCAAGATTCATCAGGATCTTTTATGCATCATTCAAGCTGGATCTTATCTCTACTTGATAAGTGATTATTTCCAATTCCTTACAATTTTGCCATATGGATGAGTTTTCATACATGTCAATACATACTGTATTTTACCTGTGGGATTTTATAAAGACTTATGACATCTGACATGAAGAAGGAGATATCAGCACCGAATCCACCAATAATGGCCAAAATGAGATTCTCTTTGATATCACATCTGTAGTTGAAAAACAACCGGTCTGATCGAAAGAGCAGGTCCAAAGTGGAACGGTAAGTCAGCTGGGCATCAAAATAGTTATCACAGATGAAAAATCCCAGAGTGACATTAGACAAGAGTCTTGGATTTGAATTGATCTGTTTCACCGCAAATGCCAAAATCAGGGAGTGCTGATACAAGTTTAAAATGGCTCTGATAACATAATTGGAGACAAGTGAAATGAAACTCGTTGAGAAAAGAAGAATGTATTGAATGATGCAACAGTAAAAATATGAAACTTGAAACTTGTAATAGACAGTAGACACCATATAAAAACAGTGAGAAACATTTGATGCATCATGAGATGGATGTCTACAACTGGACTAGCTTGTGGGAAAATATGATGTGCAATTTAACTGCAGAGCTAGAAAGCATACAAAAGGTTATTATTTTTATTATGATCAATGCAAGTTGAAGTGAAAGTGAATACTTTCTTACATGCTTACATTCTATTCTTAAGTTATAAAAACAGTCAGGAGTTAAATGGATAGAGGGAGGGTGGAGGGACAGACAGACAGACAATAGATAGATTTTTGCAGTCTCCAACAATATATGGAGAGTAAGGAAAAGGAAAAGAAATTCTTACAGAGGTGGCATAAATGATTTCTTTGAAGGATGTTCCTCAAAGGAATTTTCCTCAAGTACATATACAATCTGAGCTGTGATCCCACCAATGAGGAGGTTTCCTGGTTTATACCATTCATGAAGGAAAGAAGACGTATGACTTTGGGGGCAAGTTGTGGCATTGGTCCAGCGCTTAATGTCAACCAGTAACCACATTATAATCATTGTCTTCCACATTTTTTGTTCAGCAATTCTTTTCCATCAATAGCAAAATCTAGGAAGACATTTGGCTAACACTTGGAAGGATATCAGTTCTCCTATCCAACGGAGTGACATCAAGAAGTTAGCAAAGCATGTACTGATAAAAAAGCAAAATCCAATAAATTGAAATCACTGGCACAATTCAAAAGGACAAGATCCGGCCTGTCTCCTTGTGCTCAACTGCAAGATATGAAACTACTTATAACTTCTTTGGAATTGTTTCTCAATATTTTGGGGAAAAGCTGCTGGAGCTGTATCAAAGAGTTAAATGGTAGTCATTTAGCTTAATTGCCAATAAATAGTCACCTTTGCCAAACAAAACCCCTGGGTTTAGAGCTATTATTTCACTTCCATGTTACATCATTGAAGACAAACATCTCTGTAGCTCTTTAAGAAGATACTACATACAATATTTATTTATTTATTCCCTGCCTTTATTGTTTTTACAAATAACTCAACTTTATCAAACACATAATAGACTAGACTAGACTAGACTAGACTAGAATAGAATAGAATAGAATAGAATAGAATAGAATAGAACAGAACAGAACAGAACAGAACAGAACAGAACAGAATAGAATAGAATAGAATAGAATAGAATAGAATAGAATAGAATAGAATAGAATAGAATAACAAGAGTTGGAAGGGACCTTGGAGGTCTTCTAGCCCAACCCCCCTTCTCAGGCAGAAAACTCTATACCAGGAGTCTCCAAACTTGGCAACTTTAAGACTTGTGGACTTCAACTCTCAGAATTATCCAGACAGCATGACTAGCTGGGGAATTCTGGGAGCTGAAGTCCACAAATATTAAAGTTGCCAGGTTTGAAGACCCCTGTTCTATACCTTATCTCCTCCTAATTTTCCCACAGCAGTAACCCTATGAAGTGGGTTTGGCATAAGAAAAAATGACTGGCCCAAATTCCCCCAGCTGACCATGGGATTCATCCCATACCAAATACTTAGAACCAAGATCTCAACATTCTCCAAATATATGTCTTTGGACAACCATTGAGCACAATATACCTCAAAGGGGTCAGTAAAGGTTATTCTATTATTCTCTTAGGGATTTCTTGTTTGTTTGTTTTGTTTTAATCAACATAAATGCTTAGTGACTATTGCATTGTCTGAGTTATTTTACTTATACAGTCCAATATTAATAAAAATAATGCTAACACTAATGCTAATAATAATTATAAAGTTTCAATAATTATAAAGTTATTAACTAGTGGTTCTGGTTCTGCTCTGTTCTGTTCTATTCCCATCCACTCCAAGGGAAGGGTATTGCAAAATCTCCATTCCCACCTCATTCCAAGGGAAGGATACTGTAAAATCTCCATTCTCTCCCCACCGCACTAACCTGCTTTCCAATTCTATTCTCCCATGCAGGGCAACAAAAGAAGACCAGTCTATCAGCTGGGACTTGGGAGGCAGAGAATACATGGGGTGGGGCCAGTGGCTGGTTCTTGAACTACTCAAAATTTCTGCTATTGGTTTTCCAGAACTGGTCAGAACCTGCTGAATACCACCTCTGTTCCGGTTGCTTGGGTATGACATTGACTATGGGCCCAAGGTCTCCTTAAAATTACAATAATCAGTAGATAAGATTGTGGAGTGACAGAAATTATCTCAACAACATAAAAGGACACTAAGGCACAAAGTTCCATAGGGCCAGCCACCTCTTATTGTAAATTCAAGCTATGAGATGATCTCTCTGATTTTCATGGGGCAATTGTGACATTCCAACATTTTTGGAGTTGAGATTCTGATTTAGGATCTGTGCCTTGGGAATATCAGCAAGACTAGAAGGAAATGATTCTGCCTTGCTCCTAGATTAAATCTTTCTTACCTTCAGATTCAGAAAGTATTTTTGATTTTCCCCTTACTCAAAGGGACGTGGTGGCTCAGTGGCTAAGACGTTGAGCTTGTTAATCAGAAAGGTCAGCAGTTTGGTGGTTTGAATCCCTAGCACCATATAACAGAGTGAGCTCCTGTTACTTGTCCCAGCTTCTGCCAACCTAGAAGTCCGAAAGCATGGAAAAATGGAACTAGAAAAATAGGGACCACTTTGATGGGAAGGTAACAGTATTCTGTATGCCTTTGGCATTTAGTCATGCCAGCCACATAACCATGGAAACATCTTTGGACAGTGCTGGCTTTTGGCATTATAATAGAGTTGAGCACCACCCCCTAAAGCTGGAAATGACTGGCACGTATGTGCAAGGAGAACCTTTATTTTTAATCATATGAAGATAGTGTGTAACATCAGGGGACATCTGAAGTAATGAGTTTTGTTTTTTGGAGGAATTCTTCACCCAGGACATCAATAGTTATCTGCTGGAGATTTTATAGTGGACCATGTATGGGACTAATTGGTCTTTAAATTCACTTTCTATACTGGGATTTCAATGAAATGGAAAAGTGGATGGGTAACACTCGAGTGAGAGGCTGGGGACAAAAAACATATGAAGAATGGTTGCAGGATTTGGGTTTACCTAGTTTAGAAAAAGGAAGGACTAGGGCAAGGGTCTTCAAACTTGGCAAGAATTTCTAAGCTAACTGTCAGCTTTAAAATTCAGCTTCCTCCCCCCTTTTTAAAGAGAGTTGGGGGAGTTGAAAAGTTCAAGGGTATTCTGTATGTCATATTAAGAAATCCCAGTGGCAGTTAATTGGTTATTGTGATTTATGAAGTATAGAAGTGGGAGGAGAGAAGGTGGATTCTGTGTAACGTGTGAAAATAATTTCACTTGGGAAATTGCCTTTGACATGACAGATCTGTTTCTAAATAAATCAATCGGAGAGAAAATGTCTCGGAGTGATTGATATCATGGATACTTTCTGGATGCCTTACACTAACATGACTGGAAGATGAATTCTGGGAGTTGAAGTCCACAAGTCTTAAAACTGTCAACATGTCCTTACTCTTAGGTAGTTTCTCCTTAATTCCAGGTTGTTTCTCTCCTTGATTAGTTTCCATCCATTGTTTCTTGTCTTGACTTCTTGCGCTTTGGAAAAGAAGTTGGCCACCTCTTCCTTGTGGAAGTTCCTCAAATACTGGAATACCGCTATCATGTTACCCCAGTTTTTTTTTTCTAGACTGGCCATATCCAATTCCTGAAA